TAATAAGATTCTGGTTATCCATTAATCAAAAGAAGTTCTTAAGATCACTTCTTTCATTAAATGTAATTTATTCTTAGTCTAGCTAAAAATTTCGTCCATTTTATCTTGATGAATAGAAAGTAATCATAATTGAACATGTAGCTCTTATCAACCGCTTGTTATTGATGCTAATCTTTTGAATAGTACGAGGAACATGGAGAAGACTTTGTGGACATGCTGGATGGTATCTTCTCATTTGTTCTACTGGATACCCGTGACAACAGTTTTATAGTGGCTCGGGATGCCATAGGGGTCACTTCCTTGTACATTGGTTGGGGATTAGATGGTAAACAATGTTATAACATATCCTACTTTTGAATTGAATTAATGAGTTTTTAGTTTGTACTTGAATTTTGAATTGACTAGACTAACTCTGACAAGTTTGGCACCTCTCTGTATTTAGGCTCTGTTTGGATTTCATCTGAAATGAAGGGCTTGAATGATGATTGTGAACATTTCGAGTGTTTTCCACCTGGTCACTTGTACTCTAGCAAAGAGAGAGGGTTCCGCAGATGGTACAATCCTCCTTGGTTCTCTGAGGCCATTCCATCTGCCCCTTATGATCCTCTAGTTTTGAGACGTGCCTTTGAGCAGGTATGATTCGCAAAAGTCCAAGAACAATTGGAATTGGCACTTCATATAACTTTTAAGTTTCCTTTCTATGTGCAACATTTTATGAATGAACAAAGTATCTAAAGATAAATGAATCAAATGCTAAAGATAATGGTTAAATAACTTTAGCTAACACATTGAATGTGATTACAGTCAGTGATAAAAAGGTTGATGACTGATGTGCCTTTTGGTGTTCTACTATCTGGGGGTTTGGACTCTTCATTGGTTGCATCCATCACTTCTCGCTACTTGGCCAACACAAAGGCTGCTGAGCAGTGGGGAACAAAGTTACACTCATTCTGTGTAGGCCTTGAGGTGCACCATCTAATCAAAATTATGAATAACATCGCAAATTTAATGTTTTTTCTTAATGAAAATGTTTAATGTTGTCTTAACCATGTTGAGTAGGGCTCCCCAGATCTTAAGGCTGCAAAAGAAGTTGCTGACTATCTAGGCACTGTCCATCATGAGTTTCACTTTACTGTTCAGGTAACTAACCACGTGAAATAATGTACTTTTCAGCTCACATTTGGGGCCCTTCAATTTATTGATAAATATTTGGTATATGGTGTGTACAGGATGGAATAGATGCGATTGAGGATGTCATCTACCATATTGAAACATATGATGTGACTACAATTAGAGCAAGCACACCTATGTTTCTCATGTCTCGGAAGATTAAATCACTAGGTGTCAAATGGGTTATCTCAGGAGAAGGATCTGATGAGATCTTTGGAGGGTATCTTTACTTTCACAAGGCACCCAACAAGGAGGAGTTTCACAGAGAAACGTGCCGCAAGGTCATAGATTTATCATGCTCATTGACACAACAATGCAAGGTGTTGAAGTACAAGGGTTAATAGAACAATAATAGTTGTTTTTTATATGCAGATCAAAGCACTTCATCAATATGATTGCTTGCGAGCCAATAAATCAACATTTGCTTGGGGTCTAGAAGCCCGTGTACCATTTTTGGACAAGGAGTTTATCAATGTTGCAATGAATATTGACCCCGAGAATAAAATGGTATGAGTAAAAAATGTGACTTGGTTGCTTCATCACTTAAAAAATCGAAGACAATTTTATTAAGCTGGTTTAGTATTTTGTTTTGTTTAGATAAAAAGAGATGAAGGACGAATTGAGAAGTGGATTCTGAGGAGAGCCTTCGATGATGAGGAGCATCCTTATCTGCCAAAGGTACTATGTAATTTGCTGCAATGTCTATAGATCACTGCAAAATTAATTGGTCAAACTAACATCTAAACATTTAATTTCATGCAGCACATTTTATACAGGCAGAAAGAACAATTCAGTGATGGAGTTGGCTATAATTGGATTGATGGCCTCAAGGCACATGCTGCAAAACATGTAATGAATCCAACCTTTTCTATACAATTTACTGACGGAGTTGACTATTGTCATAAAATTTATGTTTCTTATAATTGGTTCTTGACATATTTAAATAGGTGACTGACAAAATGATGCTTAATGCTGGTAACATCTACCCCCACAACACCCCAACAACCAAGGAAGCCTATTACTACAGAATGATCTTTGAGAGGTTCTTCCCTCAGGCAAGTTAATTAACCAACTCTTAATTTGAAATTCGGAGAAAATATAATTTCGTAGAATCTAGATTTGGCCTAACTCAACCCCAAACTCATAAGGGTTGCTCCTTGTTTATGTACACTATTTAGTCTATTTTTGTTGGATCACAATTCAACGTGAAATATATTTAACATACACTCTTTATATCAAAGATTGGATATATGTGATGATCTGATAACAAATCGATATGTAAAAGAATAATATTTTACACGATAATAAGTGTCTTGACAGGCCGATAATAATTAATGGGATAACTCTGATATCATCTTTAAATTTACATTTATGTTTGGGTTGTCCCTAACTCATAAACTAGTGTTAATTTGGGATCTCTACCATAATTCAATAAAGGCTAATTCACATATCTGTTTCTTGATTTGGTGTTGCAGAACTCAGCTAGGCTCACTGTTCCTGGAGGAGCAAGTGTTGCATGTAGCACAGCCAAAGCTGTTGAGTGGGATGCTACTTGGTCTAACAATCTTGACCCTTCTGGTAGAGCAGCACTTGGAGTGCACATTTCAGCTTATGACAACCAGAACAACAAAGGTGTTGAAATTGAGAAGATTATACCTATGGATGCTGCTCCTCTTGGCGTGGCCATCCAGGGTTAATATAAAGTTGTGACAAGGAATAATTGGGCGAGAATGAAGATAACTAATTAAACTGAATGAAAAATTTGCCTGCTGTGAAATTTCATCTTGGCAAAGCTTTATAGATAAGGTTTTCTAAAAATGTCGCGTCTTGTATTATCTTCAATGTTGTGATGTGAAATCTTATATCAGTTCACAATTATCATCTTGTAATAACTTTATTTTGAAGGTTGTTTCTTTTATCAGTTCACAATGAATGCTAAGTCCATTATTTTTTTAGTAATGTTGGTTACTTTACTTTATTTCACTTTTAATTAATTAGCTAAAGTGCTGAAGAATATTCTTCTTCAAGTTATTAAGTAAGTGACCTTCAGCTCTCAAGATTGGAATGTATAAGATTCACATATTTCATATGAACTCAAATTATTTGATATGTATAAGATTTTAGAAACTATAATAAAAAAAAAACATATAAATTTAAAAATGGACCTACACATGAGAAATAACACCACTAGTAGCAGACAATTGCTGGCCAAGACATAACATTGGAATTTGGAATGGCCAAGCTTGTGCATTGAGATGCAAGATACACATAATTTCTTAGTGGAAACAAAGAATCAGCAAAAAAGAAATTCATAAAAAATGAAAAGGGAAAGAATCGACAAAGGTTGGGCCAGTAGGGAGTGATTGACAGAGACACTAACCAAGCCCATTTGTACTCGTCGCAAACTTTTTGTTGGACTGAGAATATTTTTATTGAGGCTCATGATATATACACCTCTTTTTTTATAAGTACACCTCCTTCTTTTAAAAAAAATTATAAAATATTATAATTTTTTTAAAAAAATTAATTTTATACTTTCAACTTTCAATTTACTACTTTCTTCTTCTTATTCACAAACTTTTTTTTTTCTCTTTCAATTTTCAAATGCTACCAAAATAGGTGGGGTGAAGGAAAAATAAGGAGGTGCATGTAAAAATTGAAAAAAGGAAGAAAAATATGTGAAAAAAAGTACTAAATTAAATGTTGTGGATGTAAAATTAAAAAATTTAAAACAAAAAATTAAGAAAATTTTAAAATTTTAATTATTTTTTTTAAAGGAGGTATACTTATAGAAAAAAAAAGAGGTGTATATATCATGAACCTTTTATTGAATGAGTCACTTGAGACAAACATTGTCTATATAGTGGGCCTGCTATGGACCGAATAGAAAAATCAACACTGATCTCGCTACACTGCTGGGGAAATTTACGTAAGAAATATAATTTTCTATAATATATATTAATACATAAAAATATGATACTTTATATTGTAGAGTTCTGTTACGTCAGTAACATTTTTAAAAAATATACTGAACGTCCATACTGAAAATGTTAAATTATTTAGTAGCATGTTGTCTCTTTGAACTATTTAAGAATTTTTCAAATAAGTCTTTAAAATATATTTTTAAATGGGTTCTAAATTAAAAAAGTAGGTTCCTGAAGTTAGTTTTTGACAACTTAAAACTATTAAATAAATTTTAATTTGTGGCAGTTTTATAAACTCTAAGGATTCAATTAAAATAAAATACAAGATCAACTATCTAATTAAAAAAATAGTTTAAAGGACTATTTTAAAATTCTCAAATAATTAAGGGACGTGCTTAAAAAATGTTGATTCTGCTTCTTAAAAGAGTTTATTTTAAAAATCACTTTTCTTTTTAATTTTAAAAAAAACTGATCAAAGGTGTCCAAAATCAAATCATTTATTCTATTTGTTTTAAAGTAATTATCATTTAAATTTTAGACAAGGATTAACAAAATTATTGAATTATTTATTTTCATATTAATATCTTTAAAATAATTTAAGTTTCAGTTAGTTACTTTACATTGACATTGCAGGAAGTTAAATCTTGTGTTATATTTAAAAGTTTAAGATCTCTAAACTTTCTGGGTGAGACATTTATTTCGAAAATGGTAGTAATATCCAAGCATTAGCTTGAATAGTTTGTAAATAAAATTTCAATTGTCTTCATTTTAAGAAATCTTATTTGAGGTAATTAAGGTGAGTACAAATTATCAATTTTAGCAATAATCTATGATATAAGATTAATACTTATCTACAAATAAATTAAGAACAACTAAATTTTAATTAATACCTTTGATAGAATTTACACTATAACAGTGTAATTCACACTTTACATTAATACAGCAACAAAGAAACTTTTTCATTTCCTTAGCACATATATATATAACTTCACAGTTGCAACGAGTTGCAATCATGCAACCCTCGATCAATGCGTCACCTACAAAAGATTATTCGGTGACCAACTAAAAAACAATGAGTGAAACGTGTTAAGTAGGTACTAAAAACAACATTTAGTAGAACAATGCAGTGTAGAATAGTTCATTCCAAGTATCAGGCAATCCAGGAAGACACCAATGGCTGCAATCAGCTCTATTTGGGTTAGCTCTCTTCTGTGGACTCAATTCACCACTGTAAATTGAAGGGTGTCCATCCTTCCTCAATGCTGATAACATTGTGATGTCCAAAAGATATGCAGGGTTTCTCATTTCTCTGATAACCATGTCCACAATCCTCATCTGCTCAGGGTATGCTCCAGGGTATGTTGTGCCACTAATTGGTGCAGTTTCACCGTAGCAATTCTTTCTTGCCCCACCCATATTCCATTCATTTGGGCTGCATATTAGTGTCATCTACTTTTAGCATCACTTGCGCTAAACTTTGTTATAAAAATACAGAGACAAGCTTAACCATATAATGAAGGGCAAATGAGACAAATTATATCATGTGGTTTCTTGAAATTTTACATAATAGAAAATCGATAATACATTTATAATTGATAGTGTAAAGTAGTTTTACAATTAGATATTACCATTAATAGGACTTTTTATCCACTCAATCACAAATCATTATTTATGATAAATTGTTGACTTATATAATAAATAAGTAAAATGTCATATTATGAGTAATATCTAATTGATTGATAATGTAGAATACATCAGCAACATTACCACTAAATTCTTTAAAACAATTTTTAAATTTTTTAAGCACTTAACCTCTTTTATAGGACTACCAGATGTAATGTGTTTCATAGATAATGATAAAGTGATACATAATATGTTTTAAATAATTAAGAGATATTTCAAGTGTAAATTAAACTAGAGTTGGACCTAATAATGAGAATTGAAGTAACATGTCATAAGTTTGAAGTATAATGTCATCATTATAATTATGATGGATAAAAAAAATTAAAAAGACATTGTATGAAATTTCAACAAAATACATAGACTATCTTAGTAAATTGCCCATTAATGAACCTATGTTAGCTGTCAAATATGAAAAAATACAAATCACTTCTTTTACCTTCCAACACTTATCAATGCTTATTAATATCAAAGCCTAAATGGGTTAATGCTACTCAAGTTAGTTGGAAATTATTGGTGTAGTGAAAGAAGCCACAAAACTAAGCTGTTTGTTTGGGTTCATGCTCAAAATCATAAAATCATGATGCACTGTTGCAGACCCTGGGGCCTGGACATCTCCATGTGCTATGTCACAGCCTTGCCCCATCGGATTATATAGCACATTTATTTTGGCCCATTTCTGATTTAAATATATGCTGTTTGAAATTTGTGGCTTGGGATATACTCACGAGATGTTGTGGTTTTTCCTTATGGGAAAATGTTATTGTTAGAGATAATTTCTAGAGAACGAAAGACACATATCATACGTGACATGTACGGATTAAAAAGAAGAAAATAAAAAGGGAAAGAAGTATAAGCTTTTGTTGAATTATTTTCATGTGTGAATATTATTAATGGGTGGAGCATCACGTATGTTTTATTTCACCGACACTTCTTTTTTACCAGGACATGCATCACATTCACGGTGTTCCTGCTGCACTAGGAAAAACAACCATTCTCAAGATCTGGCTGGGTTGTTGGGGAAAGGCAATGAAAGACCCTATTGCAAACTCATGTGATCATGAATGACTTTGAGGCCCCAAAGAACGGTAGCTTTGCATAATTTTGATAAATGAAATGATGGAACTAATAAGACAGCTATTTAAGTTTCCTATCATAATATTGTCAAAGAAATACTAGCTAGCAAAAGCAACTTTTTAAGTGTTGATAATAATAAGACTTTGTAAGTATGTAAATATGTGATAGAGGAATTTAGATCCTTAAAGTTGTGGAGGGCAAAGAGCAGCATCATATAATTGCTAGTGTAAAAATTAAGGGAATAAGATTATGGCAATTATATGATTTACTCTATATACATATAATTGCTAATGTAAAAATTTGAGGGATTAAGATTATGGCAATTATATGATTTACTATATAGTCGGTTGTTATAAAATTGTACATGTTTGCTATGAAATAGATTTTAGTTCTATATTCAGCAAAAGTACAATGCATATCTCAACCTTTGACAGAGACAGCACCAACAAGTCCATAAATTTCAACCTCGAGATAGAAGACACAACTTGCAATAACCTTTTCGACCGAAAAAAAAAAAAAAAAAAAAAAAAAAAAAAAAAA